AACTCGGAGCTCTGAGACGCCGCGCTCGAGGGGGTCTGGCCCGTTTCGCCTGAGACTTCCTCGCAGCGCGTTTCGCCCGAGACACCGGCCCGTCTCGCCTGAGACATCCTTGCAACTCTGAGCTCTGAGATGCCGTGCGCAAGTTGGTCTGGCCCGTTTCGCACAAGACATTCTCGCAATTCTGAGCTCCCAGATGCCGCGCAAGAGGTGGTCCAGCCTGGGGGCCCAGAAGACCACATGTTACATATCCTCCCTGGGACCCTGGGAGCCCCAGGAGGCCCCAGAGAGCTTCAGGAAGCCGCAGGACGCCCAGGACAGGCCCCAGGGATCCCCAGGAGATTCCCAGGAGGCTCCCAGGAGGCCCCAGGAGGCCCCCTCTCAGAACGTGTCAAGTTAATATAAATCCGGTGTCGATTCGTTGATTTTTTCTGCTCTTGTGGCCCCCCCTCCCATTTTGAGGGGCCCCGACGGCCACATGTTAGATATCCCCCCCTGGGAGCCCCAAGAGGCTTCAGGAAGCCCCAGGTGGGGTCCAGGAGGCCACAGGAGGCCCAGGAGGAAGCCCCAGGAGGTCACCAGGAGGCCCCAGGAGGCCCCAGGAGGCCCCCGCAACTCGGAGCTCTGAGACGCCGCGCTCGAGGTGGTCCGGCCCGTTTCGCCTGAGACTTCCTCGCAGCACGTTTCACCCGAGACATCGTCGCAACTCTGGGGTCCGAGATGCCGCGCGCGAGGTGGTCCAGCCCGTTACGCTGGAGACATCCTCGCAACTCTGGGCTCCGAGATGCCGTTCGGGATGAAGAGGAGGTGGAGGAGGAGGAGGAGGAGGAGGAGGAGGAGGAGGAGGAGCAGGAGCAGGAGGAGGAGGAGGAGGCATGTTTTAACATGCCATGCCAGCCCGCACAGGACGGGCACGCAATTGACCTTGGAAACCGCAGTGGGTCTAAAAACCCTGTTTGGGGATACTGCACTCCGGCTATAATTCTCCATATCCTAAGACGGGGTTCTTGTTACTACTTTCACCGCGCCGGAGGAGCACACGCCCACCCACCTCCCTCACACCCACTCATCACTCAGAGCCTCTCACACTCAGACTTGCTCTTTCTCATATTCACTCACTCTGACTCTTTCATCGCTCAGACTCACTCATTGTCTAGACGCATCCATTATTCAGACCTAAACTCGCTCATTGCTCAGACCCACGCATCACTCAGACTCACTCATGCCACTCAGACTCACTCGTCGCCTAGATGCATCCATCACTCGGACCTGGACTCGTTCATCGCTCATGCCCACTCACCACCCAGACTCACTCATGTTTTGACACCCACACTGAATGATACTCTGGCTCGCTCTTCCTCACCCAGTCAGATTTAGGCGAGGCGCTGGTTTCAGCAGTCCCTAGGGGGGGCGCCAGGGGGTAATTATTGCACGGGCCCGTTCGCGCCCAGATTGTGGGGATGTCTCAGGCGGTTTGCCTGTTTGCGTGCTCAACATGTTCTGCTTTGGGAGCAGTTTCTGAGGATGTCTCAGGCGAGGCGCTGGTTTCAGCACTCCCAAGGGGGGCGCCAGGGGGTATCTCACGGGCCCGTTCGCGCTCAGATGGTGGGGATGTTTCAGGCGGTTTGCCTGGTTCGGCTTCCACCATCTCTTGCTTTCGGAGCATGTTGCGAGGATGTCCTCCTCCTCCTTGTTAGGCCGAGGATGAGGGGGAGGAACGAAAAGGAGGGAGACGAGGAGGAGAAGGAGGAGGAGGAGGAGGGAAGAGGATGAGGAGGAGGAGGAGGAGAAGGAGGAGGAGAAGGAGGAGGAGGAGGAGGAGGAGGAGGATTGCGCCCAGGCGACCGACGGGGTGGCTGCCGCGCTTGGTAAATTCCATCATGCTCGAACAGGACATGCCTGAGGCTCGCTCGCGTTCCGACCAAATCGCAGTAAAACGCACTCACACTCAGACGCAATCGCACACATACCCACTAACACTCAAACTCAGGGTCACTAGTGTTCACATTCATTCGCACGCAGACTCGTTCGCTGTGAGACGTGCGACTCACCCGCACTCAGACTTGCAGCCGATGAAGGTTTCTCGAACCAGCGGCTCGCTCTTGCACACAGGCGCTTTTTGACATCCCATCGATAGACGTGCCAAACGAAAGAAATGCACATACGGGGAGCACCGCGTCGAGTAATTGTCTTCGCAGCGTTTCAGCAGGCCCTGGAGGCTCCCCGAATTCCCCCAAGACAGCCTCAGAGGCCCCCGTGAGAGCCCCGAGATGGCCCAAGAGGGCCCCAAGACGGTCCAAGAGGCGCCCAAGACAGCTCAAGTTGGCCCCAAGAGGCTCCCAAGAGCGAGAACTTGAAGTGACATTTTGCGCCCTCCGCTCCAGGATGATCCCAGAAACCGCCAGCAGGCCCCCAAGAGGGAGGGCCCCAGGAGGGTCCCGAGATGCCCCCAAACACCCCAAACACCGCCTCGAAGAGGCTTCCGAGGGAAAATCCCCAGGGAGCCTTGTGACCGCGCCGGCCAACCAAAAGCGCCCCATGAGCGAAGAAGGCCAGATGTTCGGCCACACGCGCGCCGAGGCCATGGAGACATGTGCGTGCTGGCTTCTTATCATGCCTCCATTCTCGCTCTTTGCTCTTCGCTCCACGCGCATCGCTTCTCCCCGCTCTCTCCTCGCCCCTCGCCTCCCTCGCCTTGCTTCTGGCTCCTCTATTCTCGCTCCACCTCGTCTCCTTCCACCTCTCTCCTGGCCCCTCGCTTCTCCCTCCTGGCTTATTACTGGCGCCTGCCACCCCTCTCCTCGTCGGCTCTCCCTTGCCCCTCCTCGCCTGTCGCTCCTCCCTTCTCGCTCCGTGCTCCTCGCTGATCGATCCTCGGTTCCACCACCTCCCCCTCGACCCTGACTCATCGCTCCTTGCCCCTCGCTCCTCGCTCCACTCACGAGCTGCAAGTCTCGTCATCTAGCAAGGGTACCAAGAAGCAGCACTTTGCAGCCCCAAGCAATACTAGCGAACAGAAACAGGTCACAGCAGGCAAAGGCAGCACAGCAAAAGTAGGCAGCAGCAACAACATGCCGCAGGCAGCATCACACTGAAGCTGCAGGTAGCAACAGCAGAGGTGAAGTTCGGGCCCAACGCCATCACGAAGGCCTTTTGGCAACATCTCTGCCCTGGTCCAACGTGCCATCTCGGACTTGTTTCTTGGCCGGTAGGCCACGGGTCACCCCTAGCCTATCATACAATATCGGAGGCAGCGCGTGAAATATGCCAATCGTGGCAAAGCGAGGGGGGGGTCCGCCGGGAGGGCATGCGCCTCCCAGACGGCCCAAGCGAGTCTAAGATGCCTCCAAGCTCGCCGAACAGTTTTCTGCAGGTTTCTCCCACATCTTCAGCATATACGACTTTGGGGCCCTTGCAGCGTCAACGACGGCCCAACAGCCCCAAAAATCGCCCCAAGCCGGCCCAAGGGGCCTCCTAAGACAATCCCACGCGGGCTCGAGAGAGCCCCAAGACGGCCCAAGACGGCCCAAGGGAGCCACAAGACGGCCCAAGAGGCGCCCAAGACGACCCGAGATGGCCCAGAGATGGCCCCGCCGCGTTCCCTTGCCAGGGCACCTGTGGATTTGCCCCACGGGAACAAGCTTGTCCCTCCAGGCGGGAACCTCTGCGTGCGAGAAGGTACTGTTCACGAGTAGCCTCTTTTTCTTTTTGGGAGGCCCTGGGAGGCCGAAAAGCGCCCCGGGGCAGCTCCGACAGCCTTACGGGCTTCGGGCCACGCCCCCTACACGGCGCAGCGGAGCGCAAAGACGGCCCAAGAGGCGCCCAAGGCAGCCCCAACGGCCCAGGATGGTCCCTAAGACGGCCCCATTCCCCCTCTTGGGACCCTCACGGGCCGTCGTGGGTCCCTTTTGGGCCGCCTTGAGGCTCTCTTGGGCTGCCTGGGGGCCCTCTTGTCGGGCTGCCTTGGTGCGATATTGACCGTTGGGGCCGTCTTGGGCGCCCCTTCGGCCGTTTTGGGCCCCGCTGGGCCGTGTTTGGCTTCTCTGGGCTCCCCTTGGGGGCTTCCTGGGACTTTCTTGGAATTAGCATTTCGCACCCTCCCGCCCCAAGATGGCCCCCGAGACCGCCAGCAATCCCCAAGAACCCCCCCAGAAGCCCCAGGAGGCTTGCACGAGACCCGAATCAGGCTCAAGAAGGCCCCGAGAGACTCCACACAAACCGCCTCACGGAGGCTTCCGAGGGAAGATCCCTTGGAGAGCGGACCGCGCCGGCCACCCAGGAGAGCCCCATCGGCGACCCAAGAGGAGACCAGGCGTTCGGCCACACACGCGCCGAGGCCATTGAGACATTCGTGTGCTGGCCTCTTCTCATGCCTCCCTTCTCTCTCCTCGCTCCTCGCTCCTCGCTCCTCGCAGCTCTCTCGTCGCTCCTCTCCTCTCCTCTCCTCTCTCTCTCTCTCTCCTCGCTCCTGACTCCTCTCTTCTTACTCCTCCTCGCTCCTCCGCCCTCTCTCCTGGCCCCTCACTTCTCCCTCCGGATTTATGGCGTCTGCCTCCCCCTCCTTCGGCTCTCCCTCATCCCACCTCGCCTCTCTCTCTCTCTCTCTCTTCTCTTTTCGACCGTTGCTTCCCTTCGCGCTGCTTGCTTCTCGCTTCTCGCTTGCTCCCCCCCTCGGGCCTGACTCCTCGCTTCTCGGTCCACTCACCAACTCCAGGTTGCGTCAGCTGGGATGGGTACCAAGAAACAGCACTCTACAGCCTCATGTAGCAACAGCGAACAGCAGCCGTCCGCAGCAAGCAGCGGAAGCACACAGACAAAGTTCGGAGAAGCAGCAGCATGCCGCAGGCAGCAGCACCCTGCAGCTGCAGGCAGCAGCAGTAGAGGCGAAGTTCGGGCCCAATGTCATCACGAAGGCCTTTTGGCAACATCTCTGCCATGGCCCCACGTGCCATCTCGGACTTGTTTCAGGCCACGGATCTGCCCTAGTCTTATCTAAATGGCAGTCAGCTACAACGCTGGGATCAGCGTGTGCGAGAAGTGTGAGCAGTGGCAGCGGGGTTTGGCGCTGTTCAGCGAGATGTGGGAGGCGAATTTGGAGCCCGACGTCATCAGCTACAGCGCTGGGATCAGCGCTTGCGAGAAGGGCGACCAGTGGCAGCGGGCGTTGACGCTTCTCAGCGAGATGCGGGAGGCAACGCTGGAGCCCAACGTCATCATCTCTACGCTTCTGGGACCCGCGCGAGCGGGAACGGCTCTCGTCTCAAACGGCTCTGCGAGGCCCCCGCCTCCCTTGGGCAGCTCAGGGGCCCGCTCAGGGCCCACAGAGCTCACGCTGACGGCCGAAAACTCCTCGAAGACGGCCGCAGCGCTTCGCAAGTGCTCTGCACGAGTGCCCACAGAGGCTTCTGTCCGCGGACGACTTGTATGCACCGTGCCGCGTTGGCGTCTCCCGAGGCGTCGTCGATCCTCCGCCCACGCATGGTGCGATACATATGTAGCTCTTCGGGCCCCAGGGCACGCTAAACTATGCACCGTGCCGCGTTGGGGAGTTAGGGCTGAAAGGAACCCAAACATGGGACGGTGCACCAGTGCCGTACTCATATTCTGGAGGCTGCCAACATGGGATCCCGAGACGCCCATGAAGCCCTCAAAATGGCTTCAAGAGGCTTTGAGACGGTGAGCGGAGCGTCCCGTCGTCGCGAGATTTGCGTGCTGGTTGTTCCTGACTCCTTCCTCTTCTTGTGACCCTCCTCGCTCCTCGCTTCCTGGCCCTCGCCAAGTGCTGCTCCTAGAACCGACCTCGCTCCTGTCGCTGATCCCTGTCTGCTCCCGCACCTCCTACTTGGTACTCCTCGGAAGGCTCCCAGTGAGCACTGCGACAGGTGAGCCAGCGGTCATAGCCCGACGTCATTATGACAGCCTTTCGGCAGCACTTCCTTCCCTACCTGGTGGGTGGGACGATTGCGCGAGTAGTGGAGTTGACAACTCATTGAGAACAAACATTAAGACTATGTTCTAGAAAAAAGAACAGACTCTACGCCCCCCGGGATTGTCCGATCCCCTTTTCGTGTTGCAAATTACATATGATTCTACCTCATCGTCCATCCGAAACGTGTTTACACCATCCCAGAGGGGGCCGGTATTGGTTCCCCTGCGATCCTTCGGAACAAAATGCTATGCGCGCGCACTCGTTCATCAAAAGTCATAAGTTTTCAAGACCCCTGGCAAAGAATGGGACGAAGTGCTCGCGCGCGATGTCGCGCGCGCATGCCGAACACCTTCAAAAAAGCATCGGTTTCGTACGGATGTCAGAATCGAGTGTCCAAAAAGTATAAACATACAGGGCTTCGTAATACGGATTTCAAAACAAAAAAAGCCTTGCGCGCCGCGCTCTTGCGAGTTCTCAAGAAAAAACATGTGTTTCAAACTTCTCAGAAATTCTACCAGGCGGGCTTCGCGCGCGCATGTTGAAATCGTTCGAACGCCCTTACGCGTGTGCGGTCTAGAGAATCCTTTGCAACACATGGGAGAAACTGCGCGCGCGCGTCGTCGCGCGTGCATGCCGAAATCCGTCAAAAACCTTCGGTGTCGGGGTGGTTTCAAAAACCGAGTGTCCAGAAGCACATACAAAAGCACATGGTTTCGCAACATCAGTTTTCAAAAAGCGTGCGATCGCGCTCCTGCAAGTTCTCGAGAAAACCATAGGTTGTTCAACATGTTCATTGGATTATGCCAAACGGGGCTCTCGCACCGCATGCCGACATCATTCGCGCGCCCTTGTGCGCGTGCTGGGGGGTGGGGGTCGCGATCCGTTTCAACTACCACGCGGGCCACTCTCGCGCGTCGGCCGCACGCGCACGTCGGACTCTTTCCAACGCCATCATCACCGACGCGAGGGCGCCGTCATCGTCGTCGGCGCGATCGCCATCGGCGCCCCCGCTGGCCGCGCCTTCGCCGCTGTCGACATCGTCACCAGCATCGCTAGTATCATCATCGCGTCTACCGTTGTCGACGTTGCCATGAGACCGCGCCCGCCCACGTCGCCGACTCGCAGTGATGTGCCCGATGGGACGCGCCTGGCGGCCAGCGCCGCCGCGGCCGCGTCGGTCGCGCCAAACTCGCTGGCCGCGGCGCGCGCGTGCTTGGGTCGGCGCGGCCGCAGAGATGCACCGGCCAAAGCCGAGCATGCATCGCAATCGCTTCCGTGTCAAGTTGCAGGTTGGTGGGTGGGGTTGCAACAGCATGGAATCAATTCGCCCGTTTAAATTAAGTTTCCTGTCTTAAAAAGGAAATGGCTTCTACCGCCCCACCCCCCCGGGTTAAAGATTTACTTCGTCGTGTTGCAATTTGCATGGGATTTTGCCCCGTCGTCCATCCTAACTGCGAATTCATATTATCCCCCCCTCCCCCCCCGCCATCTTCTGCAACAGATATTAAGCGCGCACATTCTTGTATCAAAAATCATAAATTGACAAGAGCCCCTCGGGAAAAACGGGACGAAGTGCACGCGCGCGCGGTCGCGCGCGCATGCCGAATGTTTGCGAAACTTTTTGGTGCCTGAAGGATATCAAGATCGAGTGTCACAAAAACATGTAGAAACATGTTTCGCAACGCGGATTTCGAGCAAACGAATCTTGCGCGCTCGCGAATTCGTAAGAAAACCAGAGGTTGAACATGTTCCGAAAATGCTACCAAACGGGCTTCGAGCGCGCGCGTGTCGAAATCGTCCGGGCGCCCTTGCGCGCGTGCTGGGGCGGCGCGATCCGTGTCAAATAGTGCCTTGCGGGCCGCTCTCGCGCGTTTGCCGCGCGCATTTCGAACTCCTTCCAAAACCTTCATCACCGACGCGAAGACGCCGTCATCGTCGCCGGCGTGATCAGCATCGGCGCCGCCACTGGCTGCCCCGTCGTCGCTGTCGGCATCGTCACCAGCATCGCTATTATCATCATGGCGTCTACCGTTGTCGACGTCGCCATGATACCGCGCCCGCCTAAGTCGCCGACTCGCAGTGAAGTGGTCAGCGCCACCGTGGCCGCGTCGGTCGCGCCAAATTAGCTGACCGCTGCGCGCGTTCGGGTCATCGCGGCCGCAGAGATGCACCGGCCAACGCCGAACGCTCTTCGCAATCGCTTTCGCGTGGGGCTTGCAAACCAAGTTGCGGGTGGGTGGGTGGGGTGCTTGCGCGAGCAGTGGAGTGGGCAATGTCAAGCTGAGTATGTGAACTGCACCACTCAGATTGCACCGCGCCACTTTCGCAACATAGATTGAGCCGCGTCGATTGCACCACTTGGAGTTCACCATATGCATTTCACCACATCGGGCGCACAGCAAAGATTCTGCTTTCTAGAAAAGGGAACTCGGATTACACCCCCGGAATTATCCGTCCGGCACTTTGCGTTGCAATGCACATGTGATTATGCCCCACCGTTGCATACATATATATATATATATATATATATATATATATATATATATATATATATTTATTTGAGTTCGCATCATTCCCGCCCAGCCGGCGTCGACCCCCCCTCGCCCCTTGGAAAGACAGAAAGAAAAACGGGCGCGCATTCCCTTTTCGCAAATCATCGAGTTTCTACAATTCTGCGCAGAAGACTGGACGACGTACACGCGCGCAAAATCGAGGGCCCCGGAACATCTTAAAACGCATGGCGTCCAGTGAATTTTCGAGAGAAAATAAAGGTCTGCGCGCTCTCGCAAATCCTTTAGAAAACCACAGTTTTGCTTTCCAACATGTTCATCCAATTCGACCAAATGTGCCTCTCGCGAGCGTGCCGAATTCATTCGAGCGCACTTGCGCGCGTGCTGGGGGGGCACGGTCCCTGTCAGATAGCGCCGCGCGGGACATTCGCGCGCGTCGGCCGCGCGCGGATGTCGAAATCCTTAAAAACCTGAATCATCGACGCGAGGGCACCATCATCGTCACCATCGTCACCAGCATGTCTATTTTGAGGGAGTTTCTGTGGAACTCACGTCATCCTCACCCCCGGCGCGAAGAGCACGAGTCCAGAGCGGCCTCCGGCACCGTTTCCGGACAGATCCGGTGGATCCGCCGACGAATCCCAAACCCGGCGCCCTCCCTTGAGACTCTCACAAAATCCTCACAAAACCGGCCCCGGGGGAGGTGCCCAGAGGAGCCCAGAGCGGCCTCCGGCACCGTTTCCGGACAGATCCGCTGGATCCGCCGACGAATCCCAAACCGGCGCCCTCGCTTGAGACATCCTCACAAAACCGGCCCCGGGGGAGGTGCCCAGAGGAGCCCAGAGCGGCCTCCGGCACCGTTTCCGGACAGATCCTGGCTGGATCCGCCGACGAATCCCAAACCGGCGCCCTCGCTTGAGACATCCTCACAAAACCGGCCCCGGGGGAGGTGCCCAGAGGAGCCCAGAGCGGCCTCCGGCACCGTTTCCGGACAGATCCGCTGGATCCGACGAATCCCAAACCGGCGCCCTCGCTGAGACATCCTCACAAAACGGGCCCCGGGGGAGATGCCCAGAGGAGCCCAGAGCGGCCTCCGGCACCGTTTCCGGACGGATCCGGTGGATCCGCCGACGAATCCCAAACCGGCGCCCTCGCTTGAGACATCCTCACAAAACGGGCCCCGGGGGAGATGCCCAGAGGAGCCCAGAGCGGCCTCCGGCACCGTTTCCGGACAGATCCGCTGGATCCGCGACGAATCCCAAACCGGCGCCCTCGCTGAGACATCCTCACAAAACGGGCCCCGGGGGAGATGCCCAGAGGAGCCCAGAGCGGCCTCCGGCACCGTTTCCGGACAGATCCGGCTGGATCCGCCGACGAATCCCAAACCGGCGCCCTCGCTTGAGACATCCTCACAAAACGGGCCCCGGGGGAGGTGCCCAGAGGAGCCCAGAGCGGCCTCCGGCACCGTTTCCGGACAGATCCGGTGGATCCGGTGGATCCGCCGACGAATCCCAAACCGGCGCCCTCGCTTGAGACATCCTCACAAAACCGGCCCCGGGGGAGGTGCCCAGAGGAGCCCAGAGCGGCCTCCGGCACCGTTTCCGGACAGATCCGCTGGATCCGGTGGATCCGCCGACGAATCCCAAACCGGCGCCCTCGCTTGAGACATCCTCACAAAACCGGCCCCGGGGGAGGTGCCCAGAGGAGCCCAGAGCGGCCTCCGGCACCGTTTCCGGACAGATCCGCTGGATCCGGTGGATCCGCCGACGA